AGCAGTAGGAGCTTCCTAAAACAAATCCTATTACTCTGCTAAAGAGGGACTCAAAGAGACTGTGACAGCATTCACAGGGTCTGTTTGGCTCTGGACCAAATGCGGTAATAGAACTAAAAGCAGAAGTGGGCACATGTTCTCATTCCTAAACTTAAAACTATCCCTAATATATAGCTACTTGCAAATTAAACAGTCTTTTTCTCCAAAGAAGTCTTACTGGGGAACAGACCATTCTTAAGGGCAGGCCCCATGCTCAGCAGTAGATGGCCAGCACAAAACAAACTCAATGGCATCTTTGGAGGTTCTTTGTCTCATAATGCTATGTCGTGGCATTTTTTTAGGTCCTTTGCATACATATTATGGTTTCTGGTTTGTGATGTTTATGGGATTCCTGTGTCTGCAAATGTGTGTGTCTCCACATCTAAATGCATTTCTTGTACTTTTTCTTTGGCTCTTTTTCTTGCTTGGTTGTTTTGTCCTATTCTGATTTGTTTATATTTGATTTGTCTTTCTATTTTATTTTTTATTTTATTATTATCCCTTAGATGCCTGTTTATTTTCTAAGCAGAGACACATTGGGTATGGATCTGAATGGAAGAGGAGGTAACAAGGAACTGGGAGGACTATGGGGAGGGGTAGCAGTAATCAGAATACATTGTATGAAAAAAAATAACTATTTTCAATAAAAGAGAAAAACTACCCAGGCATATTCACCTGGAGAATAGGTAAACTGTATAGTAAATCCATACAGTGAAACAGTTAGTAGTCAACACCTAAAATGAAAGTGTTATGGATTGTTGAACTAGGATGTAGCTCAACTGGTAGCGTGCTGGCCTAGCATGCACAAAGCCCTGAGTTTAATTCACAATACCATGTAAAGTGCTCACAGTAACACATGTCACCAGTAATTCCAGCATTTGGGAGGTAAAGACAAGAGGATCAGGAGTTCAAATTTACAATCTCCATTATATATTGAGTTTGAGATCAGCCTGAGGTACAAAAGACCTTTTCTCCAAAACAAACAATAAACTCCTGCTGATTCATGCTGCAATATAGACAAACTTTTATAATATACTGAGAGAGGCCACATTATTGTATGCATGACTCCTTTGGTGTGTTTAGAATTCAATCTGTTTTTGTCAGAGACAATCTCTATTGCCTAGAGCTGGAGGTAGGAGCCATGATGTACAAACAGGCCTGAGGAATCTCTCTGAGGTGAGGCAAAGACGATGCAGATGTGGAACTTCAGCTATACCTCGGTAAGAGGGAAAAAACAACTACTTCAATTACCACTTAAACAAATTCTGTATTTTATTGACCAAACTACAGGTTTAGACATTTATGAAACACTCTCAAGAAGAGGCTTCTGGGAGTTTCCAGTGGCTCCTACTGACAAGGACACTGAGATTGACCATGCAAACATAGGAGCTGGTTTTGATGACCACTTGAAATGTCTGTACCTCTCTCTTCTGCATCCTCCTTGCAAAAAGAGGCGAGCCAGAGCCTGAGCAATTCAGGCTGGATCACTCGCTATACTTTGGCAAAGCAGCTGACTCATTTTCCTGCCTGTTACCAGGTTCCCGCCATCCCCCACCCAATCCTCATGTTAGCTATCGCCACAGCTTGTCTTACTCATTCTTAAGGACCATCTACAACACAGATGAATTACATCTGCTATTTTCTTGTCAGGAACTGTCTAGGAAATTGTGTACCACGCCAACCCCATCCTCTACATTCATGGAACATCTTCCCTGTACAAGGCACTAAATTGTCTTGTGAACACACACAGGTGATGCTCTCAAGCATTGAAATGCCTGGCCTGGAAGAAGAGAGCCAAAGAATGATTAAGAAAACATTTGTAAATGACAAGAAAATATTAAAATCAAGGAAATCCTGTCACACAACAGCCTTTCATTTGATTTAGTTTCTTTCACCTTGAATTGCAACCATATAGTATTTAGAGCAAAGCCTGTATAATTTGCATGCGTCCTGGTAATTTACAGATTTGCTGTGTTCGTGATAACTACTTATTTAGTGATTTTTCTTGGTCTGCTTCATGAATTGCAACATTGTTTTTTTTTCCAAGTCAGGCCTCATAAGTAAGCTGAGCCAAACATATGTGTGTGTGTACATACGGATGCATATCTGTGCATATCTTTGTGCATACATATGTGTATACATATATGCATATAGTCTATGCTTATGAGTGAGTGCATGTGTATGCATAAGAATGAATATGTCTATGTGTGTGTGCATATGTATTTGTGTATGTCTGTATGTGAATATGTGTGCATAAATATATGTGTCTATATGTGCATGTGTGTCTATATGTATATTATGTGGTTATGTTTATCTAATTATGTGTGTATGTCTGTGACTATATGTGCATGTGTATATGCATGTATTATATTCTGTTGATGCCCTAAATAAATAAATAGTATAAATCTGAACTGGTCGGTGGTGCTGCATGTCTTTAATCCCAACACTCAGGAATCAGAGGCAGGTGAATCTCTGAGTTCAAGACCAGCCTGGTCTACAGAGTGAATTCTAGGACAGCCAGGGCTTCACAGAGAAACCCTGCCATGAAACCTCCCCCACAAAAATTCTGAGGCATTTGGCAATCCTTGCACATGGGTGACACAGATTTCCCTCACTGTGAGTAAATACGGTCCTACCTGCATTCAATAAGAACGGTGCACACACATAGTAAACCACCAGGACAGGATAATCCATGAGACCTAACTAGGAGGTGCCACTGCTATCATTTATAAAGAGCTGGTGAGGTACTGGTCCCACGAGGGGTGATGGCAGGTCACCCAAAGTCCCTATGGGTCCCCTGGCAATGTGTGAGAGAAATTTGATAATTTGTATTTGTCCTCAAACCTTTATAACTTGCAGATACACACATTAATAACTTGCATTTGTATATTTACTGAACTTTGTTTGGTGAGGCTGTCCTTTTAAACTGACAAAACCTCTCAGCTGTCAAACTGCATCAGAGATCTTTAATAAGGATAAAATTTTACTTGAGTTATTTATTTAGAAAAGGACAGAGGACTTACTGTATTAGCTACCTAGTGCTCAGTGTTCTCTATGGTCATTGACGGCAAAGGCATCAGGACTGTATTTGTCTTCTTCTGTTAGAAGCAGGGCCTGCCACGCTCCAGAAGATCCTGTGGGTTAGAAAATCTGTAGAAAGACAAACCTACCTTGGCATGAGCAGCTAGGAAAGTCAATTCCATTTAATTCTTTGCCCACATCTGGAGATCTTCAGTTTAGATAAAAGTCAGTCTTTCCCAGTGGTTAGCTTGATGAAACCAATTGCAGATGGACGTTGTCCTGTGCCCATCTGTCTTCTGTCTTCTTTGGAGGTTGCTAGGAGCCAACCTGTCTCTCTGTTATGGAAAGCCTTTTAATAATTAAACATTTAAATGCCATATTCCCCAGATCTCTGAGCATTTGAGAGCGGTTTATTGGGTATAGATAAGTTATGATTACAATATAGAATCTGCCTGAAGAACTAGTTCAAGCTTGACTGTATTGGCTTTTAACTTAACAGGTGAGATTTATACTTGTGAAAGACAAAGAAGAAAAAACTATTTGCAATAGAAGCTTAATGATAGAACTGACAATATTGAAGAACAGCTTAATATATTCAATTCAACTGGATGTGAATATATGTATATTACTGTTAAATGTTAAAATTGTCTGTTCGTTGTATCTCATTCCAGACTACAAAAACAATAAGCCTCATGTTTTAAATTGGTATGTACTTTTAAGTCTCTTACAAAAACTACTGTATATGAAATCCACCTCTGCTTTAGGGTATGTTGAGCTGTTCTCTACTATTGTTGGTTCCACGGTTAAGCTTCTATTGCAAACAGTTTTTTTTTTCCTTCTTTGTTTTTCACAAGTACAAGTATCACCTGTTAAGTTGAGAACCATTACAGTCAAGCTTGGACTTAGTTCTCCAGGCAGATTCTATACTGTAGTTACACCTGATAAACAGCCCTCAACTGCTCAGAGAGCTGGGGAATATGGCACGTAAATGTTTAATTGTTAAAAAACTTTTTAATAACAGAGACAGGTCTGCTCCTAGCAGTACTCTATTTCCTCCAAAGAAAACAGAAGACAAATGGGCACACAACAATGTCCATCCACGATTTGCTTCAACTGCCAAGTGCTGATCACTGGGTAAACTGCCTTTCATCTAAATGGAAGATCTCCAGACATGGACAGAATCACTGGAATTGACAGCCTAGATGCTCAAGTCAAGGTAGGCTTGTCTTCCTACAGGTTTCTGACCCACAAGATCTTCTAAAACCCAGCAGGCCCTGCGCTACATAGCAAAAGGCAAATATGACCCTCAGTGACCATGGAGGAGTAGCTCTAGATGCCAACCAAATAAGTTTTTTGTCGTTTTTTAATCAATAACTCCTTAAGTAAAATTTTATCCTTCTCAAAGATCTCTGATGCAACTTGACAGCTGAGAGGTTTTGTCGGTTTAAAAGGACAGCCTCATCAATCAAATTTCAGTAAAGTTATTAAGGTGTGCACCTGCAAGTTTTAAAGGTGTGGGGACAAATGCAAGTTACCAAATCTCTCTCCATAGACTTAAAGATACTTTTCATTGTGCAAAACCATCTGTCATAGTCACTCTGACATAAATATGCTACTCTTTATAGAATGTATATGTCTAAAACTTATGTTTTCACAAACCCAAAGAATTCTTGTGAGTTCCAGGGAGCTGAATTGAAGCAATTACCTTAAACAGATCAGATATACCCCTCTCAATTCCATGATCCTGAAACTTCTTTTTTCTCTTTCTAACTTGCCAGGTCGAAGAGATACCAGGCCATTCCAAACCACAAACCCTGGACAGGAGTAAAATGATCAGCTTTCTCAGCCCCTCCCCCCCAAGAAGACGATGCCCACAAATAAGCAGGAAGAAGTCTTTTTTTTCCCCCAGATTCATCCTTTTATTAGCCATATCAAAACGCCTAGTCATCATCAGACTCCTCGGATTCTTCCTTCTTTGCTTCCACTTTCTTCTCCTCAGCTGGGGCAGCAGCGGTGGAGTGGGCAGGACCGCCTGCTGGTGCGGCTCCTGCTGCTGGAGCAGGCCCACCAGCCCCTACATTGCAGAAGAGGTTCCCAATGTTGACACTGGCCAGGGCCTTTGCAAACAAGCCAGGCCAGAAAGGTTCAACATTGACACCAGCTGCTTTAATGAGGGCATTGATCTCATCCTCCGAGACCGCCACCTCGTCGCCGTGGAGGATGAGGGCGGAGTAGATGCAGGGGAGCTCAGAGACGGAGGCCATGTTGTGGACTGCCGGCATGGTGCTAGTGGCCGGATGAAGTGAGGGCCTCACCCCAACGCGGCCTTAGCTTCCTAGGAAGGACCAAGCACCTTGGCGGCAGGAGAGGAAAAGCAGGAAGAAGTCTTGAGAATCCGCCATCTCAATTCCTTTAGCCTGTTGTGCCTAACTTCCTGCCTTTTTATTATAAGAGAGAGATGGGAATGTTATGATCTGCTACTGACTTGTACTGTCCTTTTAAGAAATAAGTCCTGTCCACTCCCAACAAATAACCGATTAGGATAAAACCATGAAGAAGGTCTATATAACATATGTTTGATAATTAAGGTTATAAATTCCATAAGTTATAATAGTCTACTCAAGCTAATAGAAACTGACTTAAAGATGTCTAATCACTTATGTCTGTTAAGTTTCAAACCCAGAGAAGAAGACTGAGGTGCCTCTTTAACATATCAAAGCCGACCTGGCTGCTAGCTAGGTTTTTCAAGCATCCATCAATCCCTATCTATTGCATGATATAACTGGCATACCATGATCTCTACACTGAACTCTTCAGACCAAGGGCTGGGCTGCCCTTCCCCAGCAGTTCTTCTTATATAATCCAGACAATTTTTAGGACTTTTGTCCTCCTGGCTGCTACACCTGATTCCCCTCTTTCCCCTCCCCATTCTCCTCCCCCTCTCCCACATGGTCCAGTTTAGTTTAGTCATGTCCTCTCTGGATTCTAGCAGATGTCCCTGCCTCTAGCTATACTCTTCCACATATCTACAATAAACTTTCTCCTCCACTACACCTAGGAACAGCCACGTCCTTTCATTTCCTTTTTTCCCTTTCCTTCCCTTTTATGTCTTTTTTTCATTCATTGCCTTTACTAATTTTGAGTTTTAGCTATTTGATGAAACTGAGCCATATAAAGACCTGGCATTGTGTAAAAGTATACTATAAAAGAATCAAGAAAATGAGGTTTGTAGTCTCTCTGTGGACTTATGATTTAAAGTTTATTTTGATACTAAAGAATCTTCAATTCTAGAATTATAATTTTTAGTACTTAAAATTATAAAATTCAAGTCCAAAAGGGTCAAAGACTTCAACATAAAACCAACCACACTGAACCTCATGTAAGAGAAAGTGGGAAATACACTTGAACTCATTGGCACAGGAGACCACTTACTAAATATAACCCCAGTAGCACAGACACTGAGAGAAACAATTAATAAATGGGACCTCTTGAAACCGAGAAGCTTCTGTAAAACAAAGGACATGGTAGCAAGACAAAACAGCAGCCTACAGAATGGGAAAAGATCTTCACCAACCCCACATCAGACAGTGAACTAATCTCCAAAATATGCAAAGAACTCGAGAAACTTGACATGAAAAGAACAAATAATCCAATAAAAAATGGGGTACATACCTAAACAGAAAATTCTAAACAGACAAATCTCAAATGACTGAAAGTCACCTAAGGAAATGCTCAGCATCCTTAACCATCAGAGAAATGCAAATCAAAACAACTCTGAGATTCCATCTTACACCTGTCAGAATGACCAAGATCAAAAACACTGATGACAGCTTATACTGAAGAGGTTGTGGGATAAGGGGAACACTCCTCCATTGCTGGTGGGAGTACAAGCTGGTACAGCCCCTTTGGATATCAGTATGGTCATTTTTCAGAAAATTGGGAAACAATACCTCAAGACCCATCAATACCACATTTGAATATATACCTGAAGGAAGCTCATTCATACCACAAAGACATGTATTCAAAGTATAGCACAATAAAACCAATAAAAAATAAAATAAAATTCTAATCTTACAAAAGAACTACTAACACAGTAAACTATTAAAGATAATTAATATACACAAGAGTTCATTATCACACCATGTACTTTATTTACAGAGACAAATTTGGAGGGAGAGAACAAGTTTTATCTCCCATCAGATAGTCTTCTGTTGTCTCCCATCTTATAGCATTCTGCATATATTTTCAAAATTAACCCAAGCAGGTAAAGCAAAACAAGTTAAAGTTAACTTAAAGTTTGTTTAAAGTAAAGTAATAGTTAAAATCAGGTATATTTTAAAAAATGGTTATAAAAGATTGATGCTTGAGTCAAATGGCTTAAATTTACAATATACTTTCCTGGCAGGAAACCCCCAGGCTGAAGTAGTTCCCTCAAGTGAGCACCATCCCACCATGTAAGCTGTGTGTTAGCCTAAACATAGGACAAGGATGCATGGAACAAGACCTGCCAGAAGTCTGTCCCTGCCAGAAGTCTGTCCCTTTGACCTCTGGCCGTGTAGGCCTGACCAGTTCTGGACATATTTGTTTTGATTTGCATTTTTCTGATGGTTAAGGATGTTGAGCATCTCCTTAGGTGACTTTCAGTCATTTGAGATTTGTCTGTTTAGAATTTTCTGTTTAGGTCAACCCCCCCAAAAAAAAACTTTCCATAAAGAAAAGATGAATCATGTCTCATGTGACAGGCAAATGTATTCTTTTGCACAATGGAGGATCTTAGTGTCTGCTCCCACATCCCAAATGTCTCAAACAACATGTAATTCCTCTGACCTCAATGTCTTCCGAACTAACGTATGAGGGTCTTGTGAATGGTAACCACTTGACTAGATAGGGCTGCATGCTAGTTCACTTGGCAATGCCCTTTACCCTGGCATTTCATTCTTCCTCTTAGCAAAACCTAATTTAAGGGTGCATGCCCTAACCACCAGATTCTGTCATCAAACTCTCAGCTTTGCAAAGTTATTCAGAATATCTAAGCAGTGTCTTTGACAATTGTTTTTATAGTATAAAGTCAACAAATGATTCTATTAAGTGATCTCCTCAGCTCTCAGATTATTCAGGATGAGACAACTTTGACGAGGGAACTCTCTTCAACCTGGGTTCACCTGTGGCGCTTTGAGGATATAATCTAATCTACCTAGATAGAGAGGGCTAGGGCCAGCGCTGCATTCTCACCTTGGAGTCTACAAGGACTTCAAAGGCTTTGGCAGTGGATGCTTATAGATGTTTTCTAAGCAATTTCAAAAGCCAGTATCTCTAAAGCTCATTTAATATTGTTATCTTGGTTTACAAATTATGCCTCTAAATATCCAATCTATTTTTAAATAGAGCAATGTTAATAAATTTGCTTACTGCTATCAGTGTGTGATGACCTAGAGATCTGTCCATCCACAAAAGGAGAGAAGAGTTGGCTTTAGCCTTGCTAATTCAGTCTATAATGTAAACTATTTATTACAGATTTGATATGACTGACTGCTTTCATCTTTTCTTTTTCTTATGAATGAGGCAATTTATTAACCCAGCATCCTTTGTTCTAATGCTTCTTGTTGGCAGCTGCCACCTGTCCGGCAATCCTGTCCAGATCTCTCTGTCCCTGAGGTGTTAGCTTGCGGTCCCCATCTTGGTCCATTTCCACCATTTTCAGCCCCTCCAGGACTTGGAGGATGCGGCGGGCCACACTCTTGGAGCCTCTGCTGAAGTGGCTGGGCCTGACACCGTTTCTCTGCCGTCCTCCATAGATCTTGGTCACGGAGCCAACCCCCGCACCACCACGCAGGTACAGGTGCCGTGCTGTAGAAGCAGCTCGCGTGTGGAACCAGTTCTCATCATAGGGGGCAAGCTCTTCATGTTTGGCCAGCTCGACTGTGTCCACCCATTCGGGGACTTTCAGCTTCCCGGACTTTTTGAGGAAGGCTGCCAGAGCTCTGACGAACTCCTGCTGGTTAACGTCTTTTATACTAACTCCAGGCATGGTGTGGCCTCCGCGCTGCTAGCCAGGGGGAAAGGATTCATCTTTCATCTGTTGGTTGAGTGCATGAAATGAGAAGTTAGAAATTTTTAGAAAGTTCTGTTAATAGGATTAGTTTTAGAAAACTTTGTAAAGTAAATCATCTTTTTTGACATGACTTTCAAAATTTTACCTCACCAAATTGTTTCTAACCAAAAGTCGTGTGAAGATACTCTATTTTCATTAAATAATAGATGATATTGTTAATAAATGAAACAAATATACAAAGTTTATCATATGTGGAAGCAAGGAGTACCACTTAGACGCCTTCTGTTCAAGCTTTGTCCCTTGGATGCTGACTTTAGCTGGCTTCTTTTACATAACTTCCAGGTGCTTGTTCCTCATGCAGGAGTCTGATGTAACAAACAGCTAATTACAGTTACTTTATCCTTCTGCAGAACTCTGGTAATCGTCTAGTAAATTAGCTAGTTGTACAATTTCATTTAAATTTATGTTAATTCTATATTTAACCTTACATCATATTGATTCATACTAACCTTGATGTAAAAGTTTTCCTCTTGTAACTTTATCTCTTAATGCTCCCCACAAATGTGTACAAATATTATCACCTGATTTATGTTCTGGATCTTTGTCAGCTGTTAAGTTTTACTGTGACCCCTTGGATGGACGTGAGGCACTCCAGCTGCCATCCTTCTGTTAACTTTGAAGCAGTTACTGGGAGATTGGGTGATGCCTGAAAGGGAATTAATAGGCCACGAGCCATCCAATTCATCCCTCTTCTTGCCACTCTGGACATTGTTTCGGGGACTCGGAACTAAAACAACTGTACTGAAGCCGTCTTTGCCTTAGCCAACCTCTGTCTCTCCAGCTCAGAGCAGCTTGGTTATCCCTCAGGTCCAGCTCGACCCTGTGACCGCTGCAGTACTACATAGAATAGTTATGAGCACAGCTAAGGATGGTTTGTGCCTTCCTCCATGATGCTGCTTCCACACCAACAAATCCTAACCTGTTTGAAATGGGGCCACCTAAAGACAGGGACTAGACAAAAACTTAATGCCAAAGATCCTCCTCCTACGTACGAGCTTCTGGTTCCCTCCACCTCTGGCTCCTCCTCTGGATCACTGCTTTCCTCCAAATTATCCACACACTTATGTTTTTACCCTGTTTTTTAAATGTTTTACTTACTGAACTTCGTCTTATACACAAACAATTGTTCCACGTAAGCTCCCCCAATAGCCC